CTTCACTTGCGGCCCTTTCTTGCAGCAAGCCGCAAAATGGTTAGTACCTCTGCACAAGAAGCATGACCTTCCAAATGCCGGACACCGTCCTGGCTCGTGCGGCCGGTTGCACTTGGCACATTTGTACTGTTGCTTCTTTTTCACCAGCGCCACTTGTTTTTCCGCCTGCGCCCACACTTCGTTCTGCTGGGCCGATACTTCCGCTGCTTTACAGATCTGTTCAGCCTTGAGCAGCGTTAGATCTTTTTCTTTGAGCATTTTCTCTCTCAACTTTGAATTGTTTGTACCGAACACAATCTGATCCCGAATCCTTGTGTCGGTCAACTGCGCGAAGTTACAGCCGCGTGCTTGTTTCCTCAATTCACGCAAAAAATGCTCGAAAGGTTCTGCTTCAACTTGCGTTCTTGTTCGAAAGATGTACCTCTCGTAGACCTCATTCTGCTGTTGTCTACAGTACTCCTCAAACTTGAGTGCGACCGTCGCGTAATCTTCCTTATTCTCGCTTTCGGCAAACACAAAATTGTTGAATACCTCCAAAGCGTCATCCCCGGCTACACTCAGCAGGAGAGCGGTCTTGACCGATGCCGACCTTGGTTCTTTGGCTGGCTCCGTTGCCCTCAGAAAGAGCTCGAATTTCTGCTTGAACAGGTCCCAGTTTTTTGCGATGTTCCCAGACAGCAGCAGTGGCTCCGGTGGCTTGAGTAGTTCCATAGCTATGGTGACTGACGTCGTTACTTTGAGCTACCGCCGACGTGGACGGCATCCCACTTCTGACACCATGTATCAGTCGTGATGTGTCAAGCCAACAACAACGTTTATTCAGGAAGCGATTAGTTATATAGTACGACGCGGCTGCGCGGTAGCGCAGCACGTGTCAACAGTTTATCTGTTAACGAGATATGACATCGCGGTTTACATGCAGCGCGTGCGTGACTTGCACGATACAAGAAGCACGGTTACCATGGCAACCTCCCAGGCCCAAAATGGAGATCACTATCAGCGCTTTTGACGTCGTGCTTCTAGATAATTTTGCCTCGTGTCGCTACTCTGGCAGCTACGCTGCCATATAGACGCTTTGCAGCAGCTGTGCATAGACGCCGCCATAACTGACCTTCAGTTTTTGTTTCCTCTTATTTCGTTTATTTTACTTCATCATTACCATAGCAGGTCAGGTTATTGCCATATTAGATTCAACTGTGTCCTTTTCTAAAGCATCGGCCTTTGTAGAGGATCGTCAAATACCGTTTCAGTTGCTCGGCATCTCGGTAAGACAACAGAAGGTCAGCAATGGCGGCTGTAATTTGGCGCGTGTGTAAAGCGTCTATAGAGTGGCTCTAGCTGGTGCCACTCAGTTTGTTACCAAACAAAATAGGACGAATCGTCTCGTGTCAAGCAGTGGCCGCCGGTGGTGCCACCGAATGGCTCCCGATCAGCGATCCAGCCAACTATAGAATAGAGATCAGCGGCTGCGCCACCATTTGCTTCCAAGTGTCGCACGAGGCAGGGGCGCGTGCATTGGCGTATTTGATGATTTCATGCCGCTTGCAAGAAAAACACATCAAGAGGCTTTACTGAGGGCGTGTGACTTTTGGGTGTGATAGACTCGTGGAGCGAAAGGTTACGTGGCACGTTCTAACCGTTAGATTGGCTGCATAGGTCGTGGCATCGTCCCCGGTCACTCTAAAATTAAAAGGGAAATCTCGTCGCGCGGCGGCGAGACACAGCACGTTGCCATGGCATCACTATGTCATGCATGCGTCGCCTCTCATGGTTTCTAATTTGTGTGTGGTGCAACAAACAGAAATCTCACGCAGACTCCTGCAAAACGGCAAAACCGATATCGGCGGTGTAGAGCAAAGGACTCGCGCCGCGAGTCGCCGTCCGTGAAAGCTCGTGCAATCAGCAACAACAAAAAATGCTCTGTCTTGGAGCATTTGATGCTGGTGCTGCCCTCTCGTTGAACCCATTGAAAATAGATCTAGCGAAAGCTGCCCTGTTACAGTAGGTAGCCCTGTCAAATTTATTTACATAAATACTCAAATACAGAGGCATTTAAGTTTCCCGTCATGGTCTTAAAATTAAGATAGGAGACACCTCTAGTACGTACCACCATTCGGTTTCTCACCTTCATCAATTAAATGAATTTATTTCAAAACAAATGCATCAAAATGCACTCAAACCGGTCAAAATGGTAATGTTTCTGGATTTTATTAAGAATGTCTAGCGTCCTCAGGGGAAAACCCAAGGAGCGTACGACCTTTATGACATCTTCATAATGAACCTAAAAACAAAATATCAATACTCTGGTGCATTCCTGAAACTAAGGTTTATGTGGCGAAACTTAGCCATTGAGTGACAAGAGGGTGAATCCCCCTTAAAAACAATACTACGCAGATCAATCTTTACCTGTTTGAAGATTAGTTCTTTATTTACGGCAGCAAGGATCTCCAAACACTTCCTAAAAGTTGCTGTAATTGAACACAAAAACTGAGTTTCTAAAATTTTGTTTGGTTTTCTCAATGGCTCCCGTGTTTATTTTGTTTCTTGTATGTATTTTTCGAGAAAAAAAAAGGTCCACCCCGCGCCTTACCTGGGCGTTCAATCCCACGCGCATTCGATCCACAGACGAACCACAGAGAATGATAACTTATACCGAGAACTTGGAAGTTCGGCGCGACACTATCTGCCTTGAGGGTCATAAAAGTCTTCGGCCGTCCTTGCCCTGACCTAGGAGCGTGTCGAGGCCAGAGGCCCTTGCCGAGGCCTCGCACGCACTGCCCCGAAACTGCCACGCGAAAGCACCGTTGCAGCGAAGAGATGCACCCTCGCATGCAGCTCTTCACCCTGCAGCAATCGAGCAAAATGAGCGATAAGGAGGCAAAAACTCCACACGCGTGCGTCACGAGCGTTGTGCGTCAAGCATGGGGTGACGGAAACGGTGCAAAGCCGGCCATAAAGCTTCTGGTGCAACTCCTTCGGCGACAACGAGCCACGGCAATTAGCGGCTTTCACGATAACGGTGCTAATCCCTGCGCTGGTCGCCGGCCTTATAAATGCGCCGCGCTATGAACGAGGCAACCCAGCTTTTCGGACGGTCGGATCACAGCATACCAAGGTAAGAACCTCCCAGTTCTCTCGTCATTCACGAAGCAGGCTTTAAAGCGGTCAAATGGAAGGGCCGAATGGTTCAGAATAGGCCTCTTCGGAAGAGCGCATCAAGTCGATTTGTAGACCCAGGATAAACGGGTCTCCGGACTCAATTACCTGTTCTAAAACCCGAAAACTCTATCGAGTTATCGTGCAGTTGCGGGTTTAACGCAGTCGCGGGTTTAACGAAGTTGCGTCAAACGCAACTGCAAGTCTAAAGCTAGCATACCCAGAGAGAGGGCATTGCTTCGCTTCGCGTCCCACACCTCGATGTGGGAGGATACCATGCATGATGACTGCGCAAAAAGCGTCTTCGGTCAACCTAACTACACCGACGCGATGCTCGTAGCCGGCCCCATCATTGCACCCCGAGCCTTTTCTCCCGTTTGGTTCTCGTGGGACGCCCCAGGTTCGTTAAAATGCCCACCACAAAGTTGCAGCTTCCGCTCTTCCGACGCCGGCTTTGTTTCGTTCCTTAGATTGATTTAGAAGATTGAAGCTATATGAGCTTAACCATCATGTAAAGCAAAATCAATAACAAAATGAGACGTGCAGTGATGGAACTGTGCAGGAATCGAACGGCCGAACAAGACTGGCCATAGAGCAACCTTGGCAGGCTCTCCTGGTACGGCGCGATGGTGGAGGGGGCGGAGCATCCCGGTGTGACGACACGTGGAAGCCATGTATTGGGAGGGAATAGGGGAACGAGTGCGCGAAACATTTGTCTTCAAGCGGGAGAACATGTCATCCTGGTATTTGTTTTTGTGTGGACGGGGTATGATGCTAAGGAATACAACGGAAAATGGTGGGCTATATCACGAGAAATGGAAGAGCAAGAAGATAACTATGGAATTGTGATATTAGTAGAGCGCTCATCTGAATGATTTCAGTGGACACGACAGGAAACATGGTCTTGAATATTTGAGTGGCCTGCCGTACTGTAAAATAAACAAAAGCATGACTTAGCGGTCGAACAAAATGTGAGAGCGCAAGTGAGCTGGTGTGTTCATAATTGTAGAATTAACCGAGGCTGCGGTGACGACAGAAAAACGACAGGAAGAAAAATAGAAGTCTCAAACACGGCTCAGTTGAGTTGTGTTTGAGACTTCTATTCTTCCTGTCGTTTTTCTGTCGTCACCGCAGCCTCGGGTAATTCTACAATTAGTGGTCGTTTAAAACAAAACAAAAAGGCGAAGAACAGTTTACATGGACGTCAGGTAGCCAGCCTTTGACAACAGAATGCTGCTTTATGTCACAGAAGACATACATCGTATCCCCAAAATGTTTTACAGTGTTCTTTTCGCCGCAAAAACTAAACGACCCATCTCCGAACGCTTAGCCTCTGCCAAAATGTAGCGCTAGCGGTTCGTACCAGATGCAAAAGTTTCAGGACCAACCGCTATCTGATTCATAAGTCATGTGATTTTATGAAACTTCCAGTGGGGAAACGGAGCCCGTTCTTGATAACTGGCGCCATTCAGCTCGGCACCGTCGGACGGAATTTTCCCGTTCAAAATTTCGGAAAATCACTTTTAAAGTTTTAATAATATAACAGTTAGTTCTGAAACTTTGGCACCTGCAGTGGTTCGAACCGCTGGTGCTACATTTGGGCGAAAAATGAGAGTTTGTCGATGCGAAGTTTATATTAGAGGTAAACAAAAAAAACTTCTTAATTCTTGTGGAGATGCCCTGTACATGAAGCTGGAAAACATGAAAATAAACGAAGATGAAAATAAGAGTCTATGTAGCGACCATAAGCGCATTATGATATTTTTTGACAGGACAGTATAGGGAAGTACTCGATGGCAAGGAGGACCGCTGAACAACCCGACGGAAAAGTAATTAGAAAATGAGACTACAAAGAGAGGAGGCCATATTGAAGCAACCTGATGGAAAATGAAATTATGAGAATCTAGCCAGAATCAGTTCAGGGAGCAATCAGGCAAGGTTAAATGGACGCGAGGCGGTAAACAAAAGTATAAACCGAATCTCTCGTGGGACAAGGAAGTTAGAGAATTGAAAACAAAAGGTAAAAACGCGTCAAAAGAGACGCCGATTGAGCCTCCAGTCTTGTTAAACAGCCGCATGAATGTTCGCTTCCCGTAGGAAACAAAATGCAGCTTTCTTTCGCGGTTCTGCTCGTCCTCGTGGCCGTAGCTGTGGCCAAGGACTTCAGCGGCGGCTTCAACTCGAAGCCGACGAGCCCGGACTGCCCGGTGCCCGGCTCCCCCGCCCTTGCGTACGTGGCCGACCCCAACGACTGCACAAAATACTCCATCTGCTCCGACAAGATCAGCGTCAAGGTGGACTGTCCTTTCGGACAGTGCTTCAACGGAGCCGTGTGCAACACAGACTGCGTGGACTGCACGCCAGGTGAGCCCCCATCTCTTCTGCCAGCCCTCCCGGATAACGAGGCCGTCGAGTTGGATTTCCGGTGTGGTCCAGCCGCGATGGACGCATGCACACCGTCGCAGGACTCGCTGGCCCTAGAAACCCTATCGCTTTACAAAACTCCCAAACACCCACTTCTAGAAAGTCAAAATTAAATAGGGGTATCGGTCGCGGAGTGGGCTAGCGCACACCGGCTCGGAGCACATGGAGCGAAAGCTCGCACTGCAGAATCCAAGGATCCTGGTTTCAATCACCGCCCCTGCCCGTTTCTATCTGGATGAGCACCGTACCGGCGTGCGGTCGTGTGTCACTACTGCGTGGTGCACGTTGAAGACCCCAGGATAGCGGTTGTACTGCACTGGAAAAGTTTCTCATCTGTAGCGAGTGACGCGTCACAACTTTGAAATGGCTGACGAACTACAGGCTCTTTATATATCCACAAAACCCTAATTATTATTATTACAATTACATACAAGTACATCAGTCTCTATGTTTGTAAGTAATCTCCTAGACTGTTCGCACATATACGCGCATATACAATAACTGAGCCATATACAAAGTTCCCGCTCAACGTACCGGGAAACATTCCCCGCTATATTTACTGTATATTTTTTTTTCACTCTAACGCGTTTTCGCAACAAAGGTAACGCTCAAAATGCCAAAACCAAGACATATTGGCGACGTGCGAGACCAAAAGCGACGCTCTGGTCGGCCTTCCGCGATTGACAAAACGCTCACTTTGAAGCCTTTAGTTTATAGTGTTAATTTTGCTTTCGTCGACGGAAATAAAAACAGCTAGTGTCAGTCTGTAAACTTTCACGGCTTTGGTTTAAGACTCCAAGCTTCCATTGTGCTTTTTGCAACCTTTCGTTCACGAATCATAATTCAGGTCGTTGTCTCGTGGTTAGGGACTTTAAAAGGGTGCGCCAAAACATCTTGTCACCAAAAGCGGATGCCGCATGAAAATATGCCTGATATCATCGGGGAAATACCCTTGGAGTCACTCATGGCACGTTTCCCTCCAGCCCCGCCCCCGGGACCACCCGCAGGAGTTGCCGCGGTGGCTGCCGACGACGCTGAATAGGCCGCTGCCCTGGCTGCCTAGAGTCCTTGGGTTCCGGGTCCCTGGAGCTGACGGCAGAGGAGTCTGGCAGCGTGGAATGAGCTCGGAAATATTTCTACGTGCGACGTTACCTATAGCCTGTGCCAGTTAAAAGGTCATCGGAAGCATCTTCGATCCCTTTTCATTTTTGCGGAGAGAATGGTGGAGAGGGGGGAGACCTTCTCGAAAGCGTTCGTTCTGCTGAAGAGGAAAGGGGTGGGAGGAGTTTGCCCTGATCTCTTAACCTGTCACTGACCATAGATAGCACTCCAAAGACTGTAACCGAGCTTCAGAACCGGTTGACCTACATGACTTTACAAAATATTTTGCAATAAACAAAGCCAACTGCAAGGACTGTCTCCCTTATTCATCTCGCAAAAACTTGCGGAAGACGCCTCTGTTTACACACGAAACATAAAAGAGACAAAGACAGAACCGAAGTGTTTTAAACACACGGACACATCTGAACGATCACGAATATCAACAATCCGTTATCGACCCACTGTCTGTTTACTGCGGCCTATCGTTACTGTTTTATGTTTATGCTTGGCCAGTACGCGGATCTCCCCCGCGCTCCTTTCGCCTCAAGTGTCTTGACGGTAAAACTGACGTTTTACAAGACTCTGTCCCATAATTAATCTATGAGCGCAATTTCTAACAAAGACTTCGGCCACGTTTCGTGTCTGCTCCTTCACAATTTTTTTTCTCATGTTTCTCTTGCAAAAACATTAAGGAAGTACTACATTCAAATCGCATTACCATTATATACACTAAGAAAATGAAAAAGTGGGAGCAGAGGCGAGTTGGTGAATCTCGATCACACTTAAAACCAGAAACCAAGGAAAGGTAAACTAACTTTCCTACGAAGGGTCACTAATACACACACTGGGATCCACCCACGAGTTTGAGTAAACTTAGAGCGGTAAATCGGCGGTCAAAAATAGCACCCCCCCCCCCCTCCCCGCGGTTGCCGCCATCTTGCCCGTTTGCCACATTAGTGATCATGTTACAGCAAGATGCCCCCTCCCAGAGATGGGCCGAGCGCGGTGATGCAAGTCGCGTTGAACCGCGACGATCGTGCTGTGGGAGCTGAATAATGGTAGACCGCGGTGTGCGCTACGTTTGCCTAGGCAGATGATGAACAAATAGGACTCGGTGCGCACGTTTAGCACGAGATCTGACCAGGTATTGGCACCGATACGATAAAAATAGTCCTACTCATATATTTATTTATTTATTTATTTTTCGTTACCTTAGGGCCCGAAGGCATTACAGAGGGGGAGAGAAAAATTGAGATAAAAAAACAGCGTAATGTATATAGTTATTCACACTCAAAAAATAAAATAATTGGTAAGCTAGCAGACCTAAAAAGTACAGTGTCAGTTATGGGTGCAACTGATCCGTGAAGGTGGTTTCAGTCGAGGGATGTGCGTGGAAGGAAAGAAGGTTGGAATTAACCATGTTGAAATTAACCTGAGACTGGGGTAGAGAACAAACATCAAAACGTAGAAGGGACAGAAAATAGACAGGACGACGTCTCAAACTCAGCTAACTTGTTTATTTAGTCCACCTCTTTATATCGTCTCAATCTCAAGGTCATCTCCACTTCTTCTCTACCCCAGTCTCAGGTTAATTTCAACATGGTTAATATTCACCAGCTCGCCTGCACTCTTAAGATTTTTTCTAAGGTTGGAATGTTGATGTGATAGCGCTAGGTACCTCAAATGATCATGACGAGCAGAAATGTAAGAGGGACGAGTAATTAATTTCTCGAGAAGCACAGAGTTACAAAAATAAAGTTTGTGAAATAAAGAAAGACGTGAAAGCTTACATCACAGGAAGAGAGGCGGGAGTAACAAAGTAGATTTCAAAGAAGTTACGCTAGATGTATAATGATAATTAGAAAAAAATAAAACGAGCGGATCTATTTTGAATGCTTTCCTACGCGGTGATGGGAGTGGTTTGTCCGTGATTCCAGACAGAGGCTGCATATTCTAACTTCGGTCGAACTAGAGTTTTATAAAGAATTAGTTTTAAGGAAACAGGTGCTAATGAAAAAAGTACGCCTGAGGTAGCCTAGCATACGGTTAGCATTAGATCATGTGATATACTGAACATGTGTTTTTCATAAGAGGTTAGTAGTTATATGTACACCTAAATATTTGTAAGAAGATACCGCGTCAAGCTGAGCCTAATTAAGAAAGTAGTTCCGGGTTTCATGTGACTGGCGAGATACACGCATGGACTCGCATTTGTTAGTAATAAGTCATAGACCATACGTCACACCACTGGTATATAGCGTTAATGTGAGACTGAAGCATGATGTTATCATGATCGTTAAGTATCTCACGGTAAATCTGACATTCGTCCGCAAATAAACAAATAGAAGTGGAAACATTAAGAGGTAGGTCGTTAATATATATTAAAAAGCTAAAGGCCCTAAAACAGGTCCTTGGGGAACCCCAGAGGCTAAAGACGATGCCAGTAGAGGCTTGAGGGACAAAACCCAGCAAACGTAATGTAACAGATAGCGCAGAAGAAGTCCGTAGAGCACATATTTAAAACATGTATCGCACTATACGAGAAACAGCAAATAATCACCTCACAATATCACAGCAAACATATTTGGTACAAAATATGGCACAGCAGTACAGTATTTAAATTGTGCAATGAATTAGAGCGTAAAACTGTTCAATAGAGTTTTCAACTTTCTCCTACTTGTAGCTTCAAAGAAGTGGTCGGGAAGTCTGTTAAAAATGTATGGCACTATAGTAAGAGCGCTCTCGCTTACCATATCTCGTAAAACATCGGGGGATTATAAAGCGATCAGATGTGCGTAAACCTCTGCGGGGCACAAAGGGATGTTTAAATTCGATACACCAGAAATGAGAAAGCAAAACACATTGCAAAAGAAAGTGAATGGAAGATAGGTAGTGGTAGAGCCTCAAAGATGCCAGCCTCTGATGAAAGGTCATAATTATAACCGACACTTCTCCTAAGGATGCGGTCAATTTTAGTTTGCCATATTTCTGCACAGTTACCAAATAATGTGATGCCATACCTTAGTACACTATAAGCAAGAGCATTAGCAATTGATTTTCTTACGGCAAATGGCATAAATACGCTATTATTATAAAGTAAGCAACACACGTTGCGAAGCTTGCCAGAAACATGGGTTAAATGCGTTGACCACGACAAATTTGAATAAAAAAAAATACGCCTAAGTACTTAGCAGTGCCCAACACATTTCAGGGAACTACATGACTACATGTACAATCAAGGCAGCTGGATCTGTATAACACAAATGATGAGTCCAATTCTACATTCTTCAGTGGACTCCTGAAGCAAGCAATTCTGGTTTTGGATGTGTTAATAGTAATATTGCCGCAAGCACAGCTGACCAAGCAGGCAGCGCGCTCGTGGCCTAACGGTTATCGCGCTTGCCTTCCACGCAGAAAGCCAGGGCTCGATTCCTGGCCGCGGAGACGCATTTTTTGGACTCTGACGTAATGTTCCGGTAAATTCGAGAACCGTGTTGGGGGCTTGTTCGAGGTCAGAATGTTCTACACTGTTAGCAAGTGCCGTGTATTTGGTGAATATTTGGGGTGAAAAACACGCTATTTACACAAATTACCATCAATTTACACGATGAGTAACGGATAATACGTTCAGATATCATGCGAGGTTGTAAAAAACGTGTTTTGGTTCGGTCATACACGCATAACCGTGTAGCCGACCTCGATAACACGCATCGCCTCCGGCGACGACCGCGGCATTGCCGGCTATCGAAGCACCGGAATGCTTGGGGACACACTTAGAAAGGACCGTCGAGACAAATGCCGCGGAAAGAAACATGTCTCGGAAACAGATATGCACCAAAAGCAATTACGCCATGTCGCGGGACGTTGGCGAAACCCGCGCTTACCGTGGCTCGCCGCCATTTTCTGGTCGATGGCAATGCGGCTTCCCTCATGTCGCCCATGTTTGCATTTAGTTTAGGGCTCTTGATAATAGTTTCTTACACACCACAAATAAATTCATGGGTCCAATTATTCGTTCAAAACAGTTAAAATGAATATAAAAAGCGTGTCTTCGATGTGAACACGTGACATTGCAGTTGGTTTCGTTTTTGCTTCAACCTTCAACTGCTTCAACTGCAAGCGATCTGGCCGATCTGGCCATGGTGCAAGCGCAACGTCGATGTACGGTGGAAGCAAGAGCCGGTTGGCTTTCGTTCTTTTTGTTTGACCGGAGAAATTTCTGGCAGCCGCTATTGTTTTGGTTTGACGGGACGCGAGAAGCTTCGCATAGAGCTTCGCAGTTTGCGAGCACATAGTGAAGACGTGACCGGAGAAGTGCCCCTGTGATGTTCCCGGAAGACGGAAAGTACCATTCGTCGTGTGTGCTTTGAAAGCGAGGGGAGTCACAGGGTCCACGAGTGCGCAACCACAAGCCAAGGTTCACGACAGCGCTGCGTTCTTCGGCGATCTCGTTCTGTTTGGGGCAACACGGCGATGCGAGAAAGGGCCGAAACGTTCGTGGTGTGTGGTGCGGTGCTTGTAGGTAGAAACCCGCACTAACGCGGAGCTCATATTGGTTGTTGTGGGGTTGCGTTTGGCGGGTTTAGCCCCGTCGTCGTCAGCTGATCCGGTCCAGCTGGTCGGGGAGGACGCAGCGAGCGTTCTTAAAAGTAAATCTTCCTTCGTTCCGTTTCAAAATGTGGAAGATTCCCGACGCATACCATGAGTAAAATGCTGCGGACGTTTTCAACAAAATTACGTCGTTTTAATTGAACAAGGGACTTCGGATAGTTTCCCTAAATCTGCCGTTTCTATGCTTCGTGTCGTTAGACACACCGCTCGAGTAGATGATTCGGTCCGGCAAACGACCGGTTGTACAGAATTTCAGGGAAACTTAAGTCACCACCGATGTTTTCCCGTAAATCTCGTGTGACTCGTGCGAGTTTGTTGCGCTAATCATGCGGTGTGAATAAACTAGGGCAAGATTTTCTACCTGCCCACAGATGCATGAACTGAGACCAATTTTTTACGTAGAGAACATAGTGGTTTTTCTTTACATTGGGAAGAGGCCCGAATTTGTCTCTTTTCCCTCTGGCACTGCCCCAAGTTTCAAGTTGCAGTTTCAGTAGACATACCTACTAACAGGTACAAACTGCTCTAAAGCAGGCAAAAGACTGGGAAGTTAGGACGGTGCGGACACCGTGTTTTGCGCTTCTCGCAAGGTGACTGATGCTTTTGCGAGGTATGCGGAATATGCAAACGATTTTGTTATGCCCTTCGTTTGCGTCTCCAGAAAAAAGAATAAGATTATTTACAAATTTAGGCGCAATC